TCCCGAAGGCTGTCACGCTATAGATCTAGGCGTCCTGCCCTTGTAGGTTGCAGATCTGGACGAGTGCAATTCTGTTTGGTCTTGAAGGGGTTGGGGTGGCTTTTTAGACCTTGCAGGGACCCCTTCTTTTATGCCTCACCTTTCCTGTTTCACCCTGTTTGCAAAGAAAACTTATTGTTGCGGGGACTTATTTTGGGGAGGGAGGCTGAATATTTTGGAAGCATGAACAAGAAAAACGGGCAAAGGCTAGAAGACCCTTTCGGCTCTCTGAACCTCATAGGTTATGTGCGCACAAGAACATGAGCTGTGCTTGCTGAAGGCCTTTCTTGCAGGTGCATTTTGTTCTGGTGTCTTCAAGAGTGTTTTGAGAAGGGAAGGGCTAGAGGTGTAGAGGTGGGATAGGTGGGCTCCCCTTTAGGTTGTGCTGTATACAGGGGAGATGAATGGACCTCAGAGATAGGTTGCTTGGAATGGCATAAAAGCTAGGCTAGCAATGATGCATTACTCTACAGATTCATGAGTGACATTTTATGATGTAGAAAGTATAGTGTGAGATTTGGCGGTGTGTGTGGTTTTTTTTTATTGTGGGTGTAGGAATCACACAACTGATGTGTGCAGCGGCAGTGGTCCAGTCTGAGATTTTAACAGATGACCAAGCTCACTCAGGGTCAACTTGACCATTTGTGTCACTGTGGCAAGACATAGTGAGATTATAAAAAAAATTACAAACCACTAGGTGCAGGTATGCAGTGCAGTGGTAGTCTGTACTCATGTTCTCTGCATGCACGTGAGGACCTATGAAGAATTGTATCAGAATAACATTTTTGAGTATGCTGAATGTATGTGCTGACGAGTGTTGCTTCTGAAACAGCTCTGATTGCAGTGTCTCCATCCTGGCTTAATGTGGCTGGACAGTATCCTACCTTTATGGCCCATGTCCTTCTTTTCCTTTGTGTGTGACAGCAGAGGCACCAGATTATCTTTAAGCAGCAAAAAATGTCACATATGAAGAGAACTACTGCCAACTGCAAATTGCAAAGATGGTGGCAGTGTTGGTCATTAGCAGCATGACAAGTGCTGTGAATATTTATAATGCATTTTCACTTTGTAGAAAGTAAAATGTGTGTTTTCCCCCCCTCCCCCACTAACATGTCTACTGCAGGAGGAGTGCACTGTATTTGAAGTTTCCATCTGCATCAGTTACCTGTGCAATGGCAGCCTTGTAGTATATGGCACCAGTGCTGCAACAGACACACTGCTGGGGTGAGTACCAAGTCTTTTCTGGAGAATAACTTGCCGGAACCATAGTAGCAACAGCCCTGTGGCATACAGAGAAAACTTATGTCACGTCCTAGAAGTTTAAGGTGCTTGCCTGCCAAGTTGCGGTGGGAGAGTCTTCAAAAAAAGAGACACGGGGAAAGTAGTTTTTGCTTGTTCATTAGAATGGTTTATTAACATATATATATCTATTTAATCAGTTGTTTTAGATTTTAAAACTTTTTTAACTAATTGTGTTTTTAATATTCTCTAAGCTTCTATTTTAATGATAAACTCTTAATTGATTGTGATGTTATATGTACATTTTTGAAATGGCTGTATGCTGCCTTGTGGGGTTTTTTGAAGAAAGGCAGGATATAAATGAAGTAAACAAACAAGTAAATGAATAGTGTTTGTTGTTGCTGTAGCGTCTGAGGGCCTCTCTGTTTTCATGTGAATTAGTGAGCTTTTGTCTCCACTTCGCCAATTCAAACATGGGAACTTAAGTGATCAGTAGTTTTTCTGCAGAATGAAAATCCTTGCACTTAGAATGTGCAGGGCAATGGATTCTACTATAGCCATCTCCCTGACATGTCATTGATGGATTATGTTTGTTTATTTAATTATTTTGAATATTTATTTACTATCCTGAATCATGAAATCTCAGGGCAGGATACAACTAGAGCAATGTAAATAAATAGTTTAAGTCGTATTATGTTGTTCTTAAAATGTACACAATTTAAAATGGAAAACTGCATAAGCAATCTGGAGCCCTTTGGAACCATGCATATGACAAAGACATCCACAACCCATTTAAGCCAAGATCGTGAACTTCCAAAGGCGCTGCAGAGCAGACAGCTTTTAACTTGGTGCTAGACGCAAGTGTAATATCGACATCAATTGAGTCTCCAAAATAAAAGTATGTTAGTTGTCAGGAGGTACTAATTTTTTTTTGTCAGGTAGCCAGCTTGAGTTTGACTCAACCTTCCACCCTAACAAGGTTGGTAAATTGAATGCCCAGCTCACGGAGGGGGCAATGTGTAGCTTGCATAATTACATTTTAAATCGTTCAGAGAGTGCTTTAAGCGCTATGGGGTGGTATATAAGCAGCACGATTTATATATGTTTGGTATGGCCATCTTGGATATAAAGATACTCATTTAGGTTTGTCAAGCCAGCATCAGATCAACTTAAGTATCTTTTTTATGTTATATTCAAAAATTAGTATAGCTTTATTGGTCGTTTTGAACATTGCTTTCTCATGCACGTTTGGAGCAAATCCCCAATCTGTGGAAAAGCAAATCTTTTTGTAGTTGTCTTGGCTCTGTTGAACTTGGGAATCATCTGGCTAATTTGTGATAGAACTCTGAAGCACTGCTTTTTAAAAAAAATCTTATTTAGCTGTAAGAGAACTCTTGAATAGTTCCTGTAGATAGTTTGCTTCTGTGTTAATGAAAAGCTAGTAGGTGCAAATGCAAATGGTCACTGGAGCTTTCTTAAACCCACCTGTTTCTGAGGTACAAAGTTGTTTTGACCTTACTCTGGAATTGGACGTTGCATCTTGCCAGATACATACAAATTGTGTAAAACTTTGGTAGTGGCAGATTTTGCTATGTCATAGATTTGTGAAAATGTGCTTACTGGATTTCTAGAGCAAGGCTTATTTTTATATCTCTTTTATGAGCCATGTCTCTTGGCAGGCTTCAATGCTTAGTTTTGATTATAGAGAGCCAAACCATGCCATTGATCTGCACCTGTGTTGCCTCATGCTTAAAAGTCAGTGATGTCTTGATGAAGAAGAAGACTTATTTCTAGTGGGGAAAATCATTAAGGAGTCTTACAATAGGGATTTATAAGTTCTTCTAAGTCTTCATAAACATTTCTTTTTGGTGGAACTGAGTGTGTGTGAGAGAAATTAGCTAAGATCTAGTAGCAAAGGGATCCTGTGACACACATGCCTGTCAAAGTCCACTGTGACATCAGGATACATCAGACATTGGCATCAGGAGAGATGTTAGCCTTAGAAGAGATGACTGAAAGACTAAAGCAGGAATAGATGGCAGGAGCTGTGAAGCATGGCCAGGGGACAGCAGGACCAGGCGAAAGTAGATTTGACAATAATTATGGTGCTAATTGGCTCTTGGTTGTTTGTGAAGTAAGTGTTTTTATGCTTCCTTTTAGAGATTTAAGGTGATGATATGTTACTATTATGTCAAGTGTAGATAGCCTGTGGTTTTCTAGATGTTGTTGGATTGCAACTGCCATCAGTCCTAGCCCACATAGTTAGTGCAGTGGTACCAGCAGAAATGCCATCCTACAACTTTTAGAAGTTGTATGGAGATCTGTAGAGAAAGACTATATAAGGTAAGACAGACAGGACTTGGAGAAGAGTCTCTTCAGTCGTGTTCTTGGTATGATAGAATACCTTCCTCACAAAGGTCCATCACAATACGTTGAGAATAGAAAATGGTGCAAAGATATCTTCCCACCTACCCCCCAGCCAGCTTTTATTGAATAAAAATAGCTGAAGCCTGTTTACAATGTTGTTTTGTTGTGGATGCTGATAATTGATTTACTATAAACTACCTTGAAGGTATGTCAAATGTAAATATTGTTCTCTACCAGTAGTGCTGTATATTTATGTCTATTTGATTTAGCCAGTTGAAGTAGCATGTTCTCGAGGTTACTGTCATTGACATACCTGGAAGGAAACCTCAGTGATTTCAGTAGAGATGATATCTGAGTAGATGTGTGTTCATCATTTGTTTTGTAAATTTGCGTTTATATTCAACCTTTTCTCCAGTGAGGTTTTTGCTCTACTCTCCCTACTTTATCCTGGCAACAACCCTATGAGGCTAAGAGAATGGCGATGGCCCAAGCTTACTTGCCCAGGACCAGTGGGTTTTGTGGCTGGATACACAAGTATTAAACCACAACTGTCTTGCTTTGAAACCTAGAGGATTTAACCTTTTGTTGGCGTAGCAGTGCATTCATCCTTACTTATCTAGGAAGCTATTTGCTTGTTTATTCATTTTGAGCAAGTGGCTTATTAGGTATTTCTAGGAGACCCTGGCAAGGGTTGCCTTAAGTTGGCATCAGCTTTATGGCACATAATAATTATCATTACAACGTTGTAGAAATCCTTCTTTTTTCTCTTTATAGATACAGTATTAATAATCTCTTTGGATGAATGTGGGAGAGAGATTGTTGCTGGGGAGATTGGGAGCATATCTCTGGGCAAAGGGCATGGGGCAGAATGAAGGAGAGTAAAATTTTCCTTTCTTTGAACTGTAACAGATATCTGAAACGGGACTTTGTGGTCAGAGGATACAGTCTCTCTGTGTGTATACATTTGTTTTAGAAGTGTACAGATTAGAGTTTTCAGACTGCAATCCCCAGACTTCCAGCAGGAGCACTTAATGTGTATAAATCAACAGGTGCCTGAAATGAGATACTGAAAGTTAAATCTCTAGGAGACACTTAAAGACGGGGGTAGGGCAGGGCAAAAAGAGGAACTAGAAATGCTTTTGCAGGACAGTGTTTGGCGTTTCTTTTGCTCTGCTGAAAATCTTGCATTGAAAAATGCATCCCAATTGCCAGTGTAGTTGCTGACATGGGAATCTTACTTCCCAGCTGTGGTTGCCTTTCATGAAATGTGGCTGTTGAGTCACATGCGAACATCTCAAGGATTACACTAGAAGAGTTTCCAACTAATTTCTTTGGTAAATTGACAGGCTGAAAGCTGTCTTGCAGTCATTTGCAGGTGTCCTACAGGTATAGGAAGGCTGCCAGGGACACCTTTGGAGGCAAGCATATTGCTAATAACATCTCAGTACAGTACAGGATAAATCTGAACAACTGTCTTGACACGCTTTATCTTCAGGTTGTTCCTGGATCCAGCCTTTGAGCCCAGAGTCTCTCTTTAGTTCGCGCGTGTAATCTACCTGGCAAAATGCACATGCACACATTTATACATTGCAGTGGCACAGACAATTTTCCTGCATCACAGTTGTATCATGTAGGACATCTGTCATATATGAACTGGTTGTATTGGAGAACCTTCCTTCCATCAAGACCTTCCATGCTGTTGTTGGACTACAACTCACATCAACCTTAGCCAGTATACCCAGTGGTGAAGGGTGCTGGGAACTGCAGTTCAGCAACATCAAAAGGGTCTCACATTCCCACCCTGAGATGTGGACTTTCACAGGATTGCTTGCTATGTATACCATGCTCCATTGAATTACTTGTGCCTTTATGTGCACTTGACTATCAAATAAACACCGAGAATTTCGAAGTGAGAGTACTGATACATAATGGAGGATGTACATCCTGCTATCAATTTATGTACCTGTGTACACTATAGATGCATACAAAGCATATATAGAAGTTAAGCTAGGTAGACCATTAGGCATTTAGGCAGAACCTAAATGATGCAAATGAAACAACCCGAAGTAGAGCCAGAAATGCTCCTGATCAATTTCCAATGATTTGGTCAGCCTCACTAAAGAATGAGCACAAAATGAGACAGATGTAGTGTTGTCTGTCTAGCACTGGACAGGAATTTTAGATGGAGATTACACAGTTGAACTCAGGACATTGCCTGCATCCTTTTTCGATTGAGAATTGCTTGGCTGTCTTTGGAAGCAAGATCAAAACTTTGTAGAGGTCTGCAAGAAGTCTTGTCTTTGGAAAGAGAAGGTGATTTCCTTGGACAGATGTCCCAGTGTCTAGTATGGCATTACGACATGCTTGAAATAAGTGACATCAGATGATGTCACTTAGTTCTGTTGGACTGTTTTTGAATGGCTAAAGTCTGGCTTGCAGTAAACCAGGGCAAGATACCTTCCATTCTTCTCCTGCTCTTAATCCAGGCAGCCTGTGGAGGGTATTGTATATCCCTGTTGGGCTACAGTGTTTAATTAATGAATTGGCTGGATTAATGTGAATCAAGTAAGACAGAGGTAGGTAACTGTGATCCTCCAAATGTTTTTGGATTGGAATTC